TAAAATTAATTCACTTTAGTATATTGCTCACCATCTAAAAATGCATTGATCCATTAAATTTAAATTCTAAAAACACATATTAAGTCATAACATGCATTTACAATATAAAAATACGGAGTATAAGAAAAATTATTTTAAAGTGATATTTTACTAATATTTAATGTATGCTAAAATTGATTCGATATTCGTATATGATTCGTTAACTATTCGTATTGTTAAACAAATACAAATCGAAATTAATATTCGTTGCATATTTGAATTCGAATTCGTATTCGAAAAAATTAAACAAATATAAATACAAAATCTCATTATTTGGCTCGATTCGATTCGTTTACAATCCTAGTCTAAATAGTCCATACAATCGAGTTGTTATGACTCTTGGGTTTTTAACGTCTCAACCCAAATTTCATTAAAAAAAAGTCTCAACCCAAACTTTTGAAATACTTTGCAATAAATTAAGAATAAATTAATAATGAAAAAGAATTAGAGTTTTTTCCCAAAGTACCGTTAAATAAATAAATATTTCCGAAAATAATGTTGAGTTAAAAGTATTTCCCAAAATACGGTCGGGTTAATCACATTTAAAGAACCGCCACTTCAAGTGGCGGCTTATGTGCTTAGAAATAATAGCGCACGTCCAAAGTCAAGAGTGAGGATAAGTTGAGTCATGGGTCCCATCACCAAATAAAATATCATGTTTTTTTAAAGTGACATAACTTTTTTATTTGTACTCCGATTGTTACAAAAAATATATCAAAATTCATAATTTTTTATTATCTTTCATATGACACCAGTATTGAATATATAAAATAAAAAAATTATTTGACACTTTAAAAATATCTTATTTTTAAAGCGCTATAATTTTTTTATTTGTACTCCGATCATTATAAAAATATATCAAATTCATTATTTTTTATTGTCTTTCATATGACATCAATATTGTATATATAAAAATATAAAAATAATTTGACACTTTTAAAATATCTACTTTTTATGCACTATATTTTTTTATTTGTACTCCGATTGTTATAAAAAACATATTAAAATTCATAAAATTTTATTATCTTTAATATGACACCAATATTGAATATATAAATAAAAAAAATAATTTGTCACTTCAAATAAAAGCGTCAAATTATTATTTTTATTTTTATATATCCAATATTGATGTCATATGAAAGGTAATAAAAAGTTATGGATTTTGATATATATTTATTGACTTTCGGAGTACAAATAAAAAAGTTATACCACTTTAAAGAAACATGATATTTTATTTGGTGGTGGGATCCATGACTCAATTTATCCTCACTCTTGGCCTTCTACGTGCGCTATTTTTTGTAAGCACATAAGCTGCCACTTCAAGTGACGGTTCTTTAAGTATGGTTAACCCAACAGTATTTTGGGGAATATTTTTAATCCCATACTCCCTCCGTTCTTTATTATTAGCCCTTCTTTCCTTTTTGGGACGTTTTTTTTTATCTGTCCTCCTTTCCATTTAAGGAAAGTTTTTACTTTAAATATACCTTTATACCCCACTTTTATTACCTTCTCTTTCCTACTTTTTCATTTACCCACTACTCATTACACCTTTTTACACTACCCCTACTACTTTACTCTTAAAACCTGTGCCAAAGCTTAAGGAGACTAATAAAAAAGAACGGAGGGAGTATTATTTTTGGAAATATTTATTTATTTATCAATATTTTGTGAAAAAACTCTAAGAATTAAGACGAATTGTTAATCGAAGAGCTCCTAAGGGAGTGTTTGCAACAACTTAAAAAAACACTTCTTAGCTTTTGGCTTAAAAAAGCACTTATTTACCAAACACTACCAATTTTTACTTTTTCTCGGTTTGCGTGTGAAAGTGTTTTTCCCTTTTCTATTACACAAAAAGCACTTGTTTTACCAAACACTACCAACTTTTACTTTTCAAAATCACTTTTTTCTCAAACACTATCAACTTTTTCTACTAATCACTTTTTCCTTACATCTCCAAAAGTGATTTTTTTAAAGCAGAAGCAGTTGCAAACACTCCCTAAGACTAACTGTAATCGTACGTTTGAAAACCACAAGTTTGAAGTTTTCACCCCAAAGTAGCTCCAACCCAACAGAAAATATGGTATAGCAAGGTGCCACAATGGATAGGGAAAATCCAGGAATGGGGAGTTTGTCCACCTTTTCACCCGGCTCCATTGTTTGAATGCTGACTCTTGCAGGCTTGGTCTCCCCCTTCAGTCCTTCACCAATGGAAGGACGGCTGGAACAAAAAGGACACTATCTGACGCGGCGAGAGAGTATTGGATCCATGCAAAAAAAACTTTTTATTTAAAATATTATAACATTTTTATTTGAATTTAGTTTTTATATAAAAAATAACGAAACTTATAATTTTTTATGATCTTTCATATATGACACTAATATTGGATATATAAAAATTAAATAAATATATACGAAAATTTAGTTGCTAGATATTTTCATATTTAAATTAATAGGTTCAAGTGTTAAAATTAAGATCTAATGGTTAAAATATTCCTTTTACGTTTATCAGTTATTTTTTTAATAGGTGTTATTTAAAAACAACGAAATTAAATTCTAAATTTATGTATTTTTACATTAGACTTTTTGTTATCACGACGATTAGCTTCGACGCTCAGAGGCGACTTTCGCGGCGGCGCTCGTGCGGCTCGCCTGAGGCCATGACGGCACAGTCTATCTCTCACCGGTGCTAGACAGTGCCCATACTTTGACCTGCCTTGCCCAGTTTCGCTCTGCTTCGCCCTGCTTCGCCTGGTCGCTGCAGCAAATGGAACACAGACAAGGCTCCCTGATGTGGCTTGGATAGTAGAACGAATGTGACTTGTTTTTCTGTGATTTCTTGGGGCGATTCAGTTCGTCTCCAATCTGTTTGTGGTCTAGGTTTTTCCTAGTTATTTTTCCGACGGTGACACAGGCTCGTTTGTTTCGGCAGGGGAATTAATATGAGTATTATCAGTTGGAATTGTCGTGGTCTAGGAAATTCGGCAATTGTACAATGTATGGCGGATATTGTTCAAGCTCATCGTCCGTCAGTGATTTTCCTTATGGAAACTAAAATCCGATGTCAACGGGCAAATGAGATGTTGCGTTCTCAGGGTTTCTCTCAGAGTGCAGGGGTGGATAATGTGAGACTGAGCGGCGGTTTGGTGATCGGCTGGAAAGAGGAGCTAGAATTAAACGGTGTACAGTGCCATGCTAATGTTATTGACACTACTGTTAAACTCTCCTCGAATGACCAGGTATGAAGGCTCACCTTTTTCTATGGATTTCCGGAAACTGTAAGAAGAAGAGAGACATGGAATTTGCTAAAAGGATTGGGTGAAAAAAATACCCTACCGTGGATGATTTTAGGTGACTTTAATGATATTTTACATGATTCTGAGAAAAAAAGGAGTATTCCTCACCCGCCCTGGCGGATGAGGGGTTTTAGTGAAGCTCACTACTATAAAAGGAGGGATTAGAGAGGACTTTGAGAGGAAAAATTGTTTGTATCTAATTTAGATAGGAATTTTGAAAGGTACTTGCTATGATAGAGGATAAATTAAATTAGGAAGGAATTTGACTCATTAGATAAGAACCTTGTTTCCTTTCTGTTATATTATAAAATAAATAAAATTATTAAATCCATTAGAAAGGAAAATGTCCCTCTCAAAACTTTAGGAAGGAATATTTAGACATAGTTGACCCACCGCAAATTATACCGTATGAACGGCATACCATGCACATGGTATGCCGGTCCAAATACGGTACCGTTTTGCTTATTTTAAAAAATTAGATGCAAAGTAAATGTACAGAGCAGCGGCCATAAACAACGAAGGTTCTACGGTTCCATCCCTTCTTTTCCGTCATTCACCGCCATCGTTTCCGTCATTCTTCTACTTCTAATTCGCGCTCCCCTGATCGTCACCACCGCAGCAGCAAGAATCGCCACCACAACAATCCTCCTAGACAACGCCACAAGCCCACAAGGATGGGGGTAAAAGGGACAGAGATGGGAATTAAGTCAGGTACATGGATGTTTGAGATTTTGTTGATGGAATAGCCAAGGATGCAGAAACGTGTTGATGCAGAGACCATTGATGAAGATGAAATTGGGGTGATGAAAAAATAGGGATTTTGAAGTGTTCCAGCTTAGTGTACGTGAGTTACATCTTAATATATGCGTGTTACATCTTAATATACGCGAGTTATATCTTAATGTATGCGAGTTACACAACGAACTAAACTCCGGCTACATCATTTTTATTGCCCTAATATTAAAAATTAAACATATTCACTATTTATAAAAAAAATTAAGCTATTAGGATCAATTTTTCATTGTTTACATTGAAATCAAAGTTTATAATATCTCAAACACAAAAAAAATCATTGTTCAATTTTTCAACAAGTTACATTCTGTATACGCCCAAGTTACATTTGCCATCAACGCGAGTTACATTTATAATAACACGAGTTACATTAAAAAACCAACCCTTGCTATTGAAACAAAAAAAATGATTTTTTCTAAAAAATTATTTTTTATGGCCATGATATTAAAAACAAAACATATTCACGTTTTACCTAAAGCATTTGTGCAAAATTAGACTCTCTATTTTCATTGTTTACATTGAAATCAATATTTGACAAGTTACATTTTGGATGAGCTTGAGTTACATTGATCAATAACGCGAGTTACATGTCTTTACACGCGAGTTACATCATCCATGTTACTGGGACAAAAAAGTCAATGTACACGCGTATACTATTCACGCGAGTTTTTTTTTTTAAATTGACCAAAACTACATCGTTTTGGGAGTGAGAGCATGATGCTGATGGTGGGACGGTTGCACGGTATACACACTCTGACACTCGTTGACCCACTCTCTAATGACCCATCCGTTTTTCTACCTAAACCCACTCCCTTTATTATACATTTACTCCATGTAATAACTCTCAGCAGCTAAGTCATCAATTTTTTACTGATAAAACTCCGTGTGTTTATTTCCTCCGATCCATATCTCGTTTTCGGATAGAATAGCTCGGAATCAAAAGCTTGTCTGCAACTATTTGTTTCTGGGATGCACAAATGCACAAGTATCGGAGCTCATGTTTCTCCTTCAATAAGGTTAGTTCAATTATTGTATTTATATTTTGTTTGTATAATCCTATAACGGTTCATGCAAAAAAAAAAAAAAAAAAAAAAACTGGTTCATGATTACTTTGAAAGCTAAGGGGTCAGATTAATTACCTTTTGTAAAACTTAATTTATACTCCTTCCGTAGCTAAAAAAACCTTCCTATTTCAAAAGTAGGTAAATTAAGAATAGTGAAAGAAGATATGAATTATTAAGGATATGATAGGAAGATAGTCCCAATATCTTTTGGGACTAAAGCTTGGATGTTGTTGTTGTATGATAGGAAGATAGTAAAATAATGTGATGAAATGTAGGATAAATATACAAAAAATAGTTGTAATAGTGTATTATTTTCAGAATTACTGAGGGTATGATAGGAAGATTTAAAAATGAGAAGATTTTTTTGTTACGGACAAATAAGAAACTGGAATTTTTTTTGTTACAGAGGGAGTAGAATTTTATGTATTTACTTTGGCCGTTTTATACAATTTTATTTATTGTCCTCATATAAAGTCAATAATAATTATACTACACTAATAAAGGATTTTCTGTATATTTAGGTAGCTAGTGCTATTACGTATTAAATTTTTGTCATTTTCGTAAACGAAAGTGTTACTGGTTTATTTTTTGAAAGGTGTTACTGATTCATTTAAGATGTTTTTACTTGCACCGAAATTTGTTGGACTGGTCTGGTCTGACCTTTTTAAATCTGGTCTGCCCTGATCTGTTGTGAACTGGTCTGGATCGGTCTGGTCTTTTTAAGTCTGGTCTAATTTGGTTTGGGACTGAAAAAAGTCCAAGTAAAAAACATCCTAATAATAATTATTATATTATTCATATTCACTATAATTAAAGATTAATTATTCTGTAATCTATTCTGTGGTGAATTGTGATTACTACTGTATAGTAATTTCCTTTCTATAATTAGAGATTGGCTATATTGTAATCAATGTCAACATGTATTGCCTATAATTTTTTATTGATTGTGTTCACCAAACAAAAGTTTAGATTGATAAAAAAAAGAGTAGACAATAGTGTGGGTTGCGTGAAGTTAAATTTATAGTTATTACGGCAATCAACATTCTGAAATTGTAATTGTAATACTAATTATAATCATAATAACATACAAAAATGTTTTTTATTCCAGGATTAAAATGGATCTGAGAAATGAGCGTCTTTGGATGTATAATCGAGTCAAACCTGGAAGAAAGGGATTGACAGATGAATTTAAGGTTGGAGTAGATCAATTTGTGAATTTTGCTTGCGCACAAGTGACGTTTGTTAAGAACGGTGTAATTAGATGCCCGTGTACCAAATGTAGAAATCAATGCTACAAGAATCCCAAAGATGTAAAAGTCGACCTTTATAAGTGGGGGTTCGAATCAAACTATTGGCACTCGACTTGTCACGGGGAAGAGGTCCCATTTTTCACTCAAAGTGTGAATGATGTGTCACATATGGGAGGTGAAGGGAATACCATGTATGATAATTTTGAAATGAGCTCAACACCTACTCATCAAAATGGAGAGTTTGAAGGGCCGCATGAAAGCGCACAAAAATTTTATGAGTTACTCGATTCTGCACGACAACCAGTATGGTCAGGATGTTCAACAGATACTGAATTATCATTTACATTGAAGATGATGAGTATAAAATCATCATATAACATTGCACAAAAGGCCATGGATGAGATGTTAGATGCATGTAGTCGAGCAATGCCACTACCAAATAAGGTACCGTCCAATTTTTATCAAGCTGAGAAATTGGTCTCTAAACTTGGTCTCAGTCATGTGAAAATTGATTGTTGTATTAATGGTTGCATGTTGTATTACAAAGAGGATATTGAATTGGAACAATGCAAATTTTGCGGTAAGCCACGTTACAAAGAAAGTACAAAAACCAGTCAAAAGTTCCTCGGAAAAGGATGCATTACTTACCTCTAATTCCAAGACTTCAAAGGTTATATGCATCGCGGAGCTCAGCTAAGCATATGAGGTGGCATGCTGAAAATCATCGTGACATCGGCATGATGTGTCATCTATCAGACGGTGAAGCATGGAAACATTTTGATAAAACCTATCCCGATTTTGCTTCAGAACCACGTAATCTCAGGCTCGGCTTGTGATCGGATGGCTTCTCTCCTTTTGGTATGTCCTCTAAATCATATTCATGTTGGCCCATAATCGTTACTGTGTACAACCTTCCACCGTCAATGTGTATGACAACCCCGTATATGTTTTTGAGTTCTATAATTCCTGGTAAAAATAACCCAAAGGCTCAAATTGATGTATACTTACAGCCACTAATTGATGAATTGAAATCTTTGTGGGAAATAGGGGTTATAGCACAGGTACAATATGGAGCAAATAGCACAGATGGAAGATGCTATGAATGAGGAATTGATACATGAGGTAACTATTATTATATTATATGATTGTTGGGATATGCACTAACTATTGTTATATATATTATTATATAAGATTTTAAAAGTTGTATCGTCACAGGTGGGAAGTAATACAAATCCTCCAACAGAAGTTGAAGTTGAAGTTGATGGGGGGAGCACTACTATCGACGCTGATCTTGAAAGAATGGATGCAAATAACGATGACGACAATGGTGAGAAAGATGATGATATGCCTACATTTCAGAGGAAGAAGAAGAAAAAGACTTCAAAAGCTCGTGAGGATTTTGAAGAGGTGGTTTTACCGAATAAAACTAATAAGTATAAATGTGTACACTGCAAGAAACTGCTTTGTATGCCTGATACCGGTACCACCTCTCATCTTTGGAATCATTTGAAGAGATGTGATGCAAAGAAGCTTGCCACGAAAACACAAATGAACTTGCAGTTTCAGCCATCAAAGTCCAAATTTGAGATGAATCCGTTATCAAATGGCAAGTATGATCATTTGAAGCAAAGAGAAGCAACTGCTCAATGGATCTTGATAAGTGAGCAACCTTTCAATGTTGTGGAAAGTGACGGATTCTCTTTTATGTTCCAGGTCAATCTCCCACAGTTTGAGAAGATCTCTCGTGCTCAAGTAAGAAGCGACGTTATCACTGTGTATGAGATTGAGAAAAGGAAGTTGTTGTCTATGCTTAAGTGCGTGAATAAAATTTCTTTAACCACTGATATTTGGAAGTCAAAGGTGCAAAAAATTTCATATAAGTGTGTGACTGGTCATTTTGTGGACTCGCAATATCAACTTCAAAAGCGAGTTCTCAGCTTCATGCCACTTCCTCCTCCACACACCGGTAAGTTTAAGATTTTATATAATACATATATACACACACTCACTTATGTTTACTACCTATTAATCAAGTGATTCACTAATACTAATCGGCATTTGCTTGTTGCCCGGTTGTGCTTAATAGTAGTTGATGCTCAGATTTCTCGCACTTATATATGAATTTATTTTGTTGTGTTAGATGTATTTAATATGGATGATTTCCCATATGTATTTAATAGTAGTTGCTGCCCAGTAGTATATATTCAAAATGGGGGATTGTGAAATAGATGGTCATTTTGTTTAAATGTATTATATGGCCAGCAGCTCTCTTTTAATGTGAAATAGTAGTCATTTTGTTTAAGTGTATTATAATGGTCAGTAGTTCTCTTTTAATGTGAAATATGTGGTCATTTTATTTAAATGTATTCATTGACAAGCAGTTCTCTTTAAATGTGTATATTTGACTATCATTAATAGGTGTTGATATTTTTGATGGGCTTATGAAGTGCACAAAGGACTGGGGAATTGAGCACAAAATATTCACTATATCTGTGGACAATGCTTCAAATAATGATGTCGCACTTCGAATTGCTAAAGGTACTTTCTCTAGCAATCACAAATTGCCATTAGAAGGAAAGTTATTTCATGTGTGGTGTGCTGCACATATTTTAAATTTTGTTGTTCAAGATGGACTTTCTGAAATAAGATCCATCATTGGTGATGTTAAAGATAGTGTGCGATTTATTAATCAATCTGAGGCTAGGTTGCTCAAATTTTCTGAAATTAAGCATCATTTAGCAATTAAAGCTAAAAGGTTGATTATTGATTGTCCTACTCGTTGGAATTCAACCTATGAAATGTTAGTTGAAGCGTTGAAGGTGAAAGATGCATTCCCTGTCTTTGCACAAAGAGAAACTTTATACCACTGTTGTCCTAGTTCTGGAGATTGGGAAAAGGTAAAGGAAGTTGTTAGTATTCTTGAGGTGTTTTACGAAGCTACTCATGTATTATCTGGAACTCATTACCCCACATCTAATGTTTTCCTTGCAGTCATTTGGAGAGTTAAGCACGTGTTAGATGAGAATGAGGCTAGTCCCAATGAGTTTGTCAAAAACATGGTCAAAAAAATGAAGGAAAAATTTGACAAGTATTGGGGAAGTTGTAATCTTTTGATGGCTATTGGAGCAATACTCGATCCAAGATTCCAAATGAGATTGGTTGAGTTTGCTTTCAATAAGCTATATACTGTGAGTGAGTCCCGTATAAATCTTAAAACAGTTCGAGATGCCTTATATGATTTGTTTTCGGAGTATGTTGAACATGATCATTTGAAAGCTCGAAAGCACAACTCTTCTTCACCAATTGAGAATCCTTGTCCAAGTCACTTGAGCTCTATGTCCAAAGGAAAGTTAATACCTTCGGGTTTAACTATGTTTGATGATTATTTGAATTCCGTTCAACATGATGCTCCTTTGAAATCAGAGCTAGACATCTATTTAGAGGAGGGAGTTTTTAGATGCCAAGAAGGAGATGTAACATCTGAGTTTGATGCATTGGCTTGGTGGAAATCTCAAGAGCTCAAGTTTAAGATTTTATCTAAACTAGCGCGTGATGTTTTAGCTATCCCTATTAGCACTGTGGCATCGGAGGCGACTTTTAGTGCAGGAACTCGAGTATTAGATCCGTATCATGCTAATTTATCATGTGACATGGTTGAGGTTTTGATTTGTGGAGGTGATTGGGTTCGTCAACTTCATGGGATAAGAAAGGCTATGAAAACATATGTAAGTTTTAATCATATTTCTAATCTTTTTATTGAATATTTTACTTGTATATTTTTCAGAATATCTAAGTAAGTTTAATCATTCATTTAACTTTTACAGGAAGAGGAGTTGCCGATTGAAGTTTTGCTAATAAATTGAAGGGTTAAAGCTGGGAGAAACTTCAAAGAATTCAATTGCAATCTGATTATTATGAACTCTTGATGGCCTTTTATGTAGACAACTTTTACATTCTGTCTTACTCATGTTTCAATGACTTCAATTTGAGTGGGGTTCTTTTTCACTCTGGGAGTACGTACTACATGTTGCTCTATTGCAATTACTTTTATTTGAGTGGGTTTCTTTTTGAAGTAGTGGATTTAACTTTGAATCTCACCCAAAGTTAATTTATTTTTATCTGTGTTTTTATCGTCTGTATTGCTATTAGTTTAAGTAATTGAATTAACTTTGTTTACTTTATTTGTGTGTGTTTCTTTAGCAATTGAGTTTTGAATTAATTGAATTTTTGAAATAATTCATTTAATAGACATTTGTGAAAAATCGAAAAATGCCTAAAATGAGTCATAATTTGAATAGGTGATTTTTTTTACACTTCAAATATTCAAATTGGAATTCGAATATTCGAATACGAATATACTCAAATACAATAAACGAATAGAATATGAATCGATTGTAAGATTCGAATAATACGAATACGAATACGAATATTCGTCAATTTATACGAATACGAATAATATTAATCACTATTCGGTTCGATTCGATTCGTTTACAACCCTAATTCCATGCTCGGCAAATAGATATGTTATGCCATGCCTTAAGAAAAAAATTGATGAGCTAATTCTCTCTTATAAAGAAGCCTCGCCCGAATTACAAAATATTTGGCTTAATTTATTTAAGGTATTATGTTTGTATTTATAAACTTCCTGTTACATCAAGTGATTTAGATACTCAATTTAATTCGTTTGAGAATAAAGCGTCGGTGTTTTTGTTCTACTTGTAAAATGATATTTGTAGGAAAGGTATACATGGAGGCCGGAACATGAATATCGCATCTAGAAAAACTTTAATAGTAAAGGTTCAGCTGGGCTTTCACGTGCTCTGTCTGTTGTCCGAAAGTAAAAAAACAACCAAATTGGATAATCAAGTCACTATGGACTCAATTGCTTGTCAAATGGGGTGACATAAAGTACCTACAAAAGTGTGAAACTAATCAGAAAAATAGAAATTCTGATGTTGGAATCACCTTGCACATGGGGGGTTCCATTCCCATTACAGAACACATTCCAAGATATGTAAGTCTACCTTTAATACAAATTCACTTTACTTTTGTTTTATAAACATTAACTCACTTTTAAATAATTATTCGAACTAAATTTGTATTTAGGAGGAAAAACATGGTGTGTCTGCAGAACAAGATAAGATGTATTTATCAACACACGCGAAGAAAGAAGACGGTTCATTTGTCACCCCCAAAGCTAAGCAAGTCTATGTGAGTGTATTATAGTATTGTGTAGATTTATTAAATACACTGTATTTTGATGAAGTAATGACTTATCATTATTATTTCCACATTTTACAAATAAGATGCAGGTGTTAACCATTGTTGTAATTTGCTAATAACCATATTGTTTCTATTTATTGTGATAACAACTAATGCGATTGTGCGGAATGTGTGTTCATTGTTGGTTGGAGTACTAATCCATTTGTAGTGATACCGTAGGTATTAAATTTGTATCCACTAGTGTATTTCTTACGTCTTTGTCCCTCAAGTAATTTATTTAGTGATGAATTTACATTATATTGTTCTACTGACAGTTTGTAGTCCTTAATAATTTTTTTTTTATTATATTTCATGTTTAGGAATCCTATGAGGAGCTGAAGTCAAAAGACACAATGCTAATTCTAAAGAATTGTTGTTAGAGGCTACTGGCGGACATAAAAGGGGCGGAAAAGTTTCAGGCTTTGGTTCTGCCAGCAATTACTACTTCCCAAGTACGTCTACTACTGAAGTTCCTTCACAACCCTCATATGATGGCACAGTATGGAAACATCATTTTGATGAAGTTGAAAAGGCCCACAAAGAGCTGATAGAATCCAACAAAGAGCTGATACAATCAAACAAAGAGCTGATACAATTCAAGGAATCTGCATCAGTCACTATTGAAAAAATGCTACGCTCTATGAATATGTGTCAACAATCACCGCAAGGTACCTTTAGAAATGTGTTTCCATCCCAAAGTATGCATCACAGTTCAATCATGGGTTTTCTTCGTCACCAACAACCTAGTTACATCAATGTTCCTCAACAATCTCAATTCGGGCCTTTCATGAGAATGTTAATGCCACAAACTTCACAAGTATTCAATACAAAGAATAATGGCCCGAATCAGGAAGACAATGGATGCCAAGACGAGGAAGATGAACATGTTTAGTCTTTGTATTCAAATCAATATATTCAGCTTTTGTGACTCAGTATGTGCTTTTTAAGGTCTTCAAGAATGACTTCATCACTGTATTTTGGATTTCTTTTGGTTAAAGTATGCAGTTTGGATTTCTTTTGGTTAAAGTATGCAATTGCTATCATGTACTGCGTATGTTGGTATAATTTAAATTGTGGTATTTGAGAAATGCTTTGACAGGGATCTGATTGGTAATATATGTATGAGCGTGTGTAGTATTGATATGTGTTTTTAGAAGTTGTCAGGAATGAATTTCCTTTCAATGTAATTGTTTTAGATTAAATTTTTCTTATTACAGTTGAATAAAGTAAAACTTTTGAAAGGAACTTTTTCCTCTCTGAGCAAACAAAGTAAAAAAAAATTGAAAGGAAATATTTCCTATCAAGTTATAATACATCTGGTAGGGTAAGAATTTTGAAAGGAACCATTTCCTCCGTAAGGATTTAATACTTTTTGGAAGCCTACAACATTACAAAGGAATTTAGGTAGGAACAAAAATTTAGAGAGGAAGGTTTTAGAGAGAAATGGCATTCCTTTCCAAGTTCCTTACTAACCAATTCAGAAAGGAATATTTATGGTTTAGATAGAGTTTTGGTTCCTTCCTAATGGCTCTATTCCTAGTAGTGGTTGTGGCTTCGTGTGGATTGAGGGAATTTCCTTTTGACGGATATAAGTGGACCTGGGAAAGGGGAAAGAACACGAACTACTGGGTGAAGGAGAAACTAGACAGAATACTTGTGAATGATGGCTGGTGGAACAGGTATACGGCGGCACAGGCATCATCGGTGGAAGCCCCGGTGAGCGACCATATGGCTTTATGGGTCAAAGTTATGCTGACAGCTATTACCCGGAAAGCGAAAACTTTTAAATTTGAAAATAACTGGCTGAAAGAAGATGAATGTCGTGTTGTGGTGTCCAACAGCTGGAGTGCGAGTACTCACCTCTCGGTCAGCGAGAGAATATTATTCTGTGGGAAAGAACTCATGAGATGGGACGGGTGCAGAAAGAAAGGCTTCAAGCAACAAATTCAAGCATGTAAAAGAAGATTGGCATGGCTTCGGGGAAGAGACGATTGGAGGAGTACGAATGAATTCCTAAGGGTCTGCTCTGTGCTTTTTTCTTTGATGGAGAAGGAAAATCAATTCTGGAAACAGAGGGCAAAGGAGTTCTGGTTAAAAGAGGGAGACATTAATTCCCGATTTTTCCATAATGCGGTTAAAAACAGGAGGAGAAAGAATAAATTGACCGGGCTTAAGAGGCCGGATGGATCTTGGTGCACCGACAGGTCTCAGGTGGGGGAAATGGTTAGAAACTACTTTGAGCATCTTTTCGCGCATGGGGGGAGTACAGGGGTGGCAGATTGTTTTGGAGATTTTAGTCAGATCACGGCGGAACAAAACCAGCGATTGCTACGAGATATCAGGCCCGAGGAGGTGAGGGCGATAATTTTTTATATGCATCCTGAGAAATCCCCAGGATCAGATTGTATGAACCCTGCTTTTTTTCAAAAATACTGGGATATTGTAGGGTCGGATATATCTAGGCTTTGCTCTAATATTTTTAATACAGGAATTATTCCACGGGAACTTAATGTGACTAATCTTGTTCTAATTCCTAAAAAAGATAAGACTGAGGATATGGGGGATTGGAGGCCGATTGCTTTATGCAATGTTGTTTATAAAAAAATTTCTAAGGTTTTAGCTAACAGACTAAAGGTTTTATTGGGAAATCTTATTGGGGAAAACCAGAGTGCTTTTGTGTCGGGCCGGTCCATTGTGGATAATGTAGTTGTTGCCTTTGAAACTCACCATTTTCTGAAAAGAAAATGTAAGGGTAAGGAGGGGCATGTCGCTCTGAAGCTTGATATGAGCAAAGCTTATGATATAGTGGGCTGGGATTTCTTACGTGTGTTATGTGCAGTTTGAGCATGATTTTTTGGGCCCGATCATACCAGGGCGTGGGCTGAGACAAGGGGACCCCTTGTCTCCTTATCCCTTTATTATGGTTCCAGAAGGCCTGAGTGTGAAACTGAAGAAGGCGGAGGCTCAGGGGGACATCCACGGAGTGGCAGTTTGTAGGGGCCCCTCGAGTCTCTCACCTTTTGTTTGATGACAGTTTCCTCTTCTTCAGGGCTACTAATGAGGAGGCAGCAGTGTTTAAAAATATTTTAGCAATTTACGAGGAGAATTCAAGGCAAACGGTGAATTATGTGAAGTTGTCTTTGTCTTTCAGCCAGAATGTTGGGGAGTCTTTTAAGGTAGCCTGCTGCAACATTTTTGGGATCCCGATGGTAGGGGGTCAAAATAGGTATCTGGGCATGCCAACGCTTGTGGGGCGGAACAAGTCTGCTATTTTAGGCTACCTAAAAGACAAAATGTTTAATAGAATTAAGAACTGGAATAACAGATTTCTGTCTAGAGCTGGTAGAGCGGTACTTTTACCTAATTACGCTATGAATGTGTTCCTTTTGCCAAATAATTTATGTGATGAGATTGAGAAATTAATGAATGGTTTTTGGTGGAGGGGCACAAAATTTGAGCAAAAAGGCCTGAGATGGAGAAGATGGGAGGTTCTCTACAAGCCAAAAAATTTGGGGGGCCTTGGCTTTCGAAAAATAAGAGAATTTAATCTGACTATGTTAGCCAAGCAGGGTTGGAAGCTAGTGATAGAACCATCCAGTCTGATGTGTAGAGTGCTGAAGGCCAAGTATTTTCCAAACTCGGATTTTTTGCATGCTCAGGTTGAGAGCAATCCTCATTCATTTGGCGTAGTATCTTTGAGACACAATTTGTTCTCAAAGATAATATCCGAAGGAGAGTAGGGAATGAGATCGATGTGCAGGTTTGGTCTGATGCCTGGCTTCCGGGAGAGGGATCGCGGAGGATTACATCTGCTAGACCGCAAGGGATTAGAGACATGAATGTTGCAGCTTTGCGGGATATCACAGGGAAGAAGTGAAACAGAGATAGACTGGCTAATATTTTTAATGAAGAGGATAGGAGGAAGATTCTGAGTATCCCTATTAGTTCTTATGATGGGAAGGATGCTTATTTGTGGAATGGGGAAAAGTGTGGTGCTTTTTCGGTCAAAAGCTGTTACCGGCATCTTACCGGGGAACTGCAGGCGGGTGATGGAACTAACTGGGCGCGGCTATGGGATTTGCATATACCGCCGAAACTTACTTTTTTTTGCTTGGCAGGTAATTGATGGCTCCCTCCCTACGGTGGACAATCTGCGCACTGAAGGAGTACAGGTACATGAAGGGTGCAAGGTTTGTGGGGATGATAATGAAACGACAGATCAGGCATTTCGGCCGTGTATTCATGCAGAGGAGGTTTGGAGGCAGTTGGGGATCGATTTGGGCCAACCAGTGGACTCGGTGACGGATTGGATCTGGCAGCAGCTGGGAGGAACAAATATGGAGAACCGTTGCAAATTTATTTCTATTTTATGGAGCCTCTGGGAGAGAAGGAACAAATGCCTCTGGAAGGACAGGTGGCAGGGAGTTGCGGGAGTTCTCAATGCGGCAGCAGGAATTATTTCAAGCTGGAGAGATGCCCAAGATGATGGGCGAGCGGGACAGGGGAGGAATCAGGAGAGCTTTTGGACAACTTGGAAATGACCACAACAAGGTTATATTAAGATTAATGTGGATGGGGCAGTGGATGCGGAAAATAATATTCAGGCCTGGGGATGGGTTTCACGAGACCACCATGGCGACTTCATTAAAGCCAAAGGAGCCTCAGAGCTAGCTAGTTGGTCGGTGGCTGAAACGGAGGCGGTGGGTTTGCGGGATGCTTTGGTCGGTGCGGTCGAAGCAGACTGGTCTCATGTGAAGATTGAGACTGATGCTCTCTCAATGGTCCAGGGTCTCATGGGGGAGGATCCTCTTACTTTTTCCTTATTCTTGATAATATTAGATTTTTTTTAAAGATAAGAGTAATTGTATTATCTCTTTTTGTAAGCGATCTACGAATCGTGTTGCCCATACGTTAGCAAGAGCACATGTTGTCCTCTCAGATCAGTCCAGTTGTTATGATTTTGTTCCTAACTCTATTGTAAGTCTTTTGATACACAATTTGGTGAATTAATATATCAGTCAGTTGGAGATAAAAAAAATGTATTTTTACATTAGAATTTTCAACTTTTTAAATCATAATTATTCATACAAAAAATATTGATGTGCAATAATAAAAGTGAGGCTTTAATTAAACAAAATGTTGAATTAATATATTAACAGTGTTATATTACAGAAAAAATTAATTAACTAAGTAAATACGCACAGAATGCTAAAATTTTAATTTATTGTCGGATGCTAAATTGCAACTACAGCACGCACTTATTATAACAGGCGTTATCGAGAATGGATTACGCCTGCTTTTATGAGACAAAACGGGTGTATAGTGTAGACTATAGAGTGTAAATAGAAAAATGAGAACTGAAAGAATCCATTTTTCGGAAATAGACAAAAACGAACTAAAACAGGGCAATCATTGTCAGTCAGTCGTCTCTAGTGATATGAGAAATGAAGGAATCCATTTCTCTGCGCGAGGCACCTCCTTCCATCACCGCAAGCTTGACGGCGCCGCTCATTTCTTCCGCCCTCCGCCGCATCTCTTCTCCTTCCGCGGAAACCATCAGTTTGTTAACAGCTTCTGCAATCCTCTGTGAGCTGACCACTTCCTGCGTGCTACAGTCATCAACTTCCACAGCGATTTTCAGGCACTTGGTGATCAGAAGAGCGTTCCGGGGCTGGTCGGAGTGCACCGGCCAGGCGGCGATCGGCACTCCCATGGAAATGGCTTCCATACACGAATTCCACCCACAGTGGCTCATGAACCCGCCGGTGGATTCGTGGGCGAGAATCTCCAGCTGCGGCGCCCAATC